AAAAAAAAACTCCAAGATCCAACATAAAGATTGAATCTGATTTTATTTATATATCTTTTACATGGTTCGAAGTTTGCAGTGCACTTTTCGGGCAGCTGCATAGCCATGGCTCGATCAACCCCAGAAATCGGGGGCCCATTAACAAGCACACAAAGACAAGGTTGCCCAAGAGCCTTGACCGAGTCACAGCAAGACTCGGTTGGAGGACTCGGGCTGAAAGGAGACACAGCTGCCCGGCAAGGTATGAGCTGGACGAGTGCCGAAAAAAACGTGCTCCCGCATGGATGAGCCGTGCTTTCCTGCACAAAACTAGCAATCACAAGCACAAATATCATCAAAAAGGGGAGGGTTTTTGAGTTAGAGAGCTTCATATTTTGGATTAATAATGTGAACAAGATATATTGAGTGTGTTTAATGTCTTTCTTTTAACCACATATATATCTGTATACGTGTATATATAGGCTCAAATCGGCTCGTGTTACGTGCTCTTTTGTGTTTCTCTCCTAACTCTGTAACACACAAACCACACTCCATTGATGGACCTGTCAAAACTCATACTGTGCATGACTTTCTTATATGTAAAACTGAACTTGTTTTTGCTATTTATTGATACATTTCTTTCAAAAGAACCATTCTAATAAAACAACAAAAGCAGCATCTTGGAATGAGAAACATAAATTAGAGAAAATTAACTAATTTTCAAGAAAATTATATCTCGGTAATGTCTCGAAATCAAGAGCAATCAATCAATTATCATGTGAATAATATTTATGATAAGTAAAAAAAAGTGAACATTGATATACAATAAGAAGCTAAAATAGAAGTGAAAATACGAAATGGAGTAATAAAAAAACAAGCTTTGATCCATACATAAGAAAACCATCAATTTAGAAACTATGTTCACTTCCACATATGTTAAAGAGGGTGAAATCAATTACCAATTGGAGTTTAATTAAGAAGAAATTCAACATCAAACGAAACAAACTTTCAGAAATTCATATTTCATTAGATAATAAAATTCGCCAAACAAGCTACAAAAGACAGTTCAGATACTGAAAAGACCAGATAACAACCGATATACAAAACCAACCATCCCTACTACAGATCCAAACATCAGAAACCCAGAACGAGAACGAGTCAACTCAGCACAAACAACTCAACCTAAGCCCGCTCACCCCTGATCCTCCTCGCAAGCTGGATATCCTTGGGCATGATGGTCACCCTCTTGGCGTGAATCGCGCAGAGGTTGGTGTCCTCGAAGAGCCCGACCAGGTAGGCCTCCGCCGCCTCCTGCAGCGCCGCCACGGCGGAGCTCTGGAACCTGAGGTCGGTCTTGAAGTCCTGGGCGATCTCGCGCACCAGCCTCTGGAAGGGGAGCTTGCGGATGAGGAGCTCAGTGGACTTCTGGTACTTGCGGATCTCCCGGAGGGCGACGGTTCCCGGACGGAAGCGGTGTGGCTTCTTCACGCCGCCGGTGGCTGGGGCGGACTTCCTTGCGGCCTTGGTGGCGAGTTGCTTCCTGGGGGCCTTGCCGCCGGTGGATTTGCGGGCAGTCTGCTTGGTGCGGGCCATCGGAGATTGGTCGGAGAGTTGCCGGAGAGGGAGATATGTAGATATTGAGAGATTGATTGTATAGAATTGATGTGAGTGTTGTGAGAGATGCGTTTGGTTGTGGGGTTTGTTATATAGAGAAGATGAGAGCGGGAAGATTGGGATTTTTGGGGATGGTTTGAAACTTTTTGGGGTTGAATGAGAGCCGTTGATTGAGATTGGACGGTGAGATTAGGGGTTTCAGGTTGACGATCCGCGTTTTGTGGTGAGAACCAATGAGGTAGCGCCACGTATGAAGAATGTGAGCAGCTTCTGGCACCAGTGTTTTTATTTGGGTACCGCGCTTTTGGTTTGTGAATTGGGACTTCGGAGTGTGTTTGTTATTTAATGAAATCTTTTAATTTTATAAAAAATATTTATTAGTTATAAGAAAATATGTCCGTATTTGACACAATATATTATTATTAAACATTAAAAATGTAACTTAAGGAAATTACACCACCTACCATCAAAGTAATTTTATTTGAACATTTAACATTTTTTTTTTTTTTTGCAATTATACTTGCTATTAAATTTTCTCTTTCCAATGAAAAAAATGAAGGTGGTATAATAACTTTTAAATTGTAAAAAAAAATGAAAGGAAAAAAAAAAACTGTAAAAAAGGGGATCGATGGAAACGAAGAAAACAAGATTCGATGGAGACGAGAAAAGCGGGCTCAATTCTTGAAGGTGGATACCGGCGGCAGAGGCGAAAGTCGATCTCAATTCTCGAAGGCGGAAGCCGGGGGTGGAGGACGAAGGCGAAGGTCGGTCTCGATTATCGAAGGCAGACAGAGGCGGAGGTTGGATGAAGGTCGAAGTATCAGAGAGGTTGGCTGAGAGTGAGAGCAATTATATGGTCGAAGTATCCGAGAGGCTCAGCGATCTTTTTTTTTTTTTTTAAGAACTGGTGATGACAATATATGCTGCGTATATATGGCGTATATGTTCAATATATTCTATATATATTATGTATAAACTAATCCGGTATATTATATATATATGTATATTATGTATACATTTTCTGTATATATTTTTTATATATTACGAACATATCGTGTATTTTGTGTTTGATATGAACTAATCTGTTTATATTATGTATATATTCTGTATAAACTAATCCGTGTATAGTACTAAAAGATCAAATATATTTTGTATATATTTTTTGTCATGTATTTCCTGTATTTTGAGATAGATAGTACGCTTGAAATTCAAATTAGGAAAAAATAAACTGCACCTTAAGATGATGATGATCCATATCCACTTATCTTTTTTTCTCTAACTGATTACTATAGGGAAGTGATTGTCTGAAGGTGGATTCCTTTGATATTGGCCGATTTCAATTGAGCAAAAAAAAAAAAAATGCACTTCATTTTGATATGAACTAGTACGAATCCCGTGCGATACACGAGTAAGAAATATTTATTAATATTTATAAATTAAGAATTCTTATATTAAATAATATTATAAATTAAAAACATGGAATCAATGTTTAAAACAATGTACCTATATTAATTTATTGAAAATATTATATATAATTTAAATTGTGCAAAATTACATAAAAAATGTCGTCTATTTAAAATTAGTACACAACCCGCGCGTTGCACATAACTTATAATAAATTATATTATATTCGTTTCAAAATATGTGTCATCTCGAAATTTTTATTCTAAAATTCGATTTGACTATAACGTAATTCCATAAAATAACTTTAGTAAATTTTATCATATATTTAAAAACTTATTTGAATAATAAGTATAAAGATAAAACTTATATTGTTTCTTTAATTATTATAAATTTATGTTTGTATAAATATCCAAATCAAAATAATTAAGTAGTTGAATAAGGCTTTTTATGCCAAAAAAACTGACACTCCTTATAATGCTAAAAAAAATGAACAATGCATTTCATACAAAAACAATTTGAAATGTTGTAACAAAAAATGAATTAAACCGAGACCTACTAATTATACAAAAAAAAAAACCTGACCAGAGTTTTTTTTTTCTGTAAAAAAAATCAATACACGCATTATATCAAAATATCTATTCATATTATTTTGTGGGAGTTATGATAATCTCTAAAAACAAATATTGGACTTACAATATATATATATATATATATATATTTATATTCAACAATTTTATCATAAAAAAATAAATTTGCTCACTTTATAATATATATTGATTAATTTATTTTCTATAGAAATAACTGTAGGCAATTAAATTTTGAGCCAATAAAATGGCGACAAGTGTCAAATTCCATGTCATTGTCAATTTGATAATTTTCTATTTTATTTGGGAAATTAATCAAAATTTTAATTCCTAAATTAAATAGTTAATTAATCGATTATTTAATATATATTGTTGGTCAATTAAAGAATGCCACATGTATATTTTGAAGGCCAATTAAAGAATGCCACATGTCATTTTCTTGGAGAGTAAAATAAATATTTATTTCTTTTAATAATTATTAAAGAGATAAATAAATGAAAATTCATGGACCAATCAAATTGCAGTCTTCTTTTTCAAGACTCTCTCTCCTAATTATCTCTTTAAATAAATATTAAGAGATAAATATTGAAAATTATGGACCAATCAAATTGAAGTCTTCTTTTCCAAGACTCTCTCTCCCAACACCTATAAATAGGGCTCTCCCTAAGGTGGAAAAAAAACACAATTCATATTCAAGTCCACAAGTCATATTCAAGTTCAAGAGCTCTAGAGAATTCTCTCCACAAGATTCAAGTGTTTTGAAGATTCAAAGGCGTTCTTGAAGACCCGAAGGAAGATTCAAGCGCATTCAAGCCCAAAATCGACGTTTAATCCGGAAACAAGCTGACAAGCCTCCGAATTACGTTATTCAAGTCAAGACCGGTGTAGAGAAGATCAAAATCAACTTTGCGGCGAAGACCAAGGATTCGTGTTCTTCACGTTCTTGGGAAATCACGACGTTCGATTCGAGATCAAGCTATCAATCCCTCGAAGAAACGTTATTTAAATTCATATTCAAGACCGGCGGGGATCAAACTGAAGATTCGTCTCCAAAAGTCTCATATCCATTTGAATATTGTTCTTGAAGAAATTAATCAGATGAATAATAGAGATTTGTAATCCACTTTATTTCTTTTGATCCGTTGAAAATCCATTTGTACGAAGTTCTCGTGTTTATTAATTTAATAATACGAAATTTTGCGTTACAAATTTCTGGCACGCCCGGTGGGACCATCTCTACCTCTCATCTCTTTTCTTCAAGATATCTAAGTGCAACGATGACTCCTCCCAAGTCAACTTTTTCAAGTTCTGCAAGCGAAAGTGTTGGGGTCGTAACAAGAAGCATGGCAAAGAACAAGAGCGTATCTCTGGAAGGAATTTCTCACCAAGTTGAGGAAAATCGGCCGCTTTTGAACCCTTTAAACCAAGAGGAAGATTTGAGAGACGATGCTTCATCAACACCTTTCTCAATGGAGGCACATGTTATGATGACGAATGCATCAACCATTGAAGAGCAACTTGCAACCATGGCGAAAACAATGGAGTCACTAATGAAACATGTCCAAAATCAAGACTCCACAATTTTAAAGTTGCTAGAAAGGGTCGACAAAGCTGAGACTAGCCGTGCTGAGGGCAAGCAGGACGAAAGACATGAGGATGAAGAAACTTCTAAAGAAGATGAGGTGAAACAAACTGAAAAAGAGAAGTCTTCGTCAGAGATCCATGTTTCTGCAAGCGGACTCATACCAGCTGACCAACTCAAAGAATTCATCATGGGAACCATCAAGGACAAATTTGACGGAGGCTCCAAGTCATCTTTGACTTACTCGAAGCCATACACCCAAAGGATTGATAGCTTGAAGATGCCTACTGGATATCAACCACCGAAATTCCAACAGTTTGATGGTAAAGGTAGCCCGAAACAGCACATAGCTCACTTCATTGAGACTTGCAATAATGCTGGAACATATGGAGATCGTCTAGTGAAGCAGTTTGTTCGATCACTGAAGGGAAATGCGTTCGAGTGGTACACCGACCTGGAGGCGAATTCTATTGATAGCTGGGAGCAACTAGAGCAAGAGTTTCTCAATCGCTTCTACAGCACACGAAGGACGGTCAGCATGATTGAGCTCACCCATACAAAGCAGTGGGATGAAGAGCCTGTTATTGACTACATCAACCGATGGAGAAATCTAAGCCTCAATTGCAAGGATCGACTGTCTGAAGCTTCAGCTATTGAAATGTGCACTCAAGGGATGCACTAGGGTCTCCGATACATTTTGCAAGGGATTCAACCGAGGTCGTTTGAAGAGTTGGCCACTCGCGCACATGATATGGAGTTAAGCATGAATGCAAGCGGGGTCAAGAATCCACCTGTCCATGAGCCTCAAAGATTCAAGGACCAAAATGAAGTCAAGAAAGGGGGCAAGTTTTCCTCTAGAGCACCTAGCAAAGAGGTAAAAGAAACAATGACGGTCAATGCAAAACCCATCAAACTCAAGGGAAACACAAGCGAGAAAGCTGTGGAAAAGAAAGAAGTCCCTCAAGACAGGGGGCAAAGAAAGTTAACCTTGAAGGAGATGCAAGCCAAACAATATCCTTTTCTTGACTCTGATGTTTCCGGAATTTTCGACGACTTGATTCGGGAACAACTTATTGAGCTTCCGGAGATGAAACGACCTGAAGAAGCAGGACAAGTTGACAACCCAAAATACTGCAAGTATCATCGTCTGGTGAGTCACTCTATCGAAGATTGCTTTGTCTTCAAAGATAGAGTTATGCAGCTGGCACGACAAGGCAAGATATCGCTTGAAGAAGACAAAGGGACTGCGAACTTTGCTTCAATTGTGACCTGCGAAGAAGGATATGAAAGTTTCACTTGTAATATGATGAGCGAGCAAGATGATGTCTCAAATGATGAGAAGTCGACTGATGACAAAGAACGATGCGACCCTGAAGACAATGATGCAGCAGTCATTTTTACAGATGAAGACTTGATGTTGGGCTCAAAACCCCATAATAGGCCTTTATTCGTAACTGGTTACACTCGCGAGAAAAAGGTGAATCGCATATTGATAGATGGAGGTTCTGCTGTGAACATTTTGTCTCTGCGTACTCTAAAAGAGCTGGAGGTCCCGGCAGATGAACTCTCAAATAGTCGGTTGATGATTCAAGGCTTTAACCAAGGGGGGCAACGAGCTCTAGGCATAATTAGATTGAAGTTAATAATCGGGGAGATGACTTCAAATGCTCTTTTCCATGTGATAGATGCCAAAACCTCTTATAACATGTTATTAGGACGTCCTTGGTTGCATGAGTATGGAGTGGTACCTTCTACTTGGCATCAATGTTTCAAATACTGCCAAGATGGTGTAGTAAGAAAGGTTCTTGGAGACGATAAGCCTTTTACTGAAGCCGAATCTTATTTTGCTGATGCTAAGTATTATTTTGAAGAGGTTAAGACTGTTGGCACTAAAGACGTTCCCATTAAACAACCAAATGGAGCCAAAGAGAAGAAAGCCAAGAACCTTGCTGGGAATGACCCTCTTGATGGGCTGGTGTTGCCGTTACCTAGTCTCGATGCCAAGAAACCAACCACGCAACCCCTGGGGAAGTTTGTCCGCCCAATCGAAGGAGCTAAGACGGAGCACGGAGGGGAGCTTCAAAACTCTAAGTATTACGACCCAAAAGCATATAAACTTCTTGTCAAATCTGGATACGATCCAAAAGAAGTGAGTACTTTGGGAACACTTATTCCGCAAGCAGCAAAAACTCAAAAGAGGGATTCTGGAGTGGCAAAAACTAGAGTTGGTCTCGGATTTGCGGCACCAAATCCAGTTCGGATCGCCATAAAACGAGTCAATTCTAATCATGTGTCCGAAGAAGGATTTTCATCCACTGATCATTTGGAGCATAGAGAAAGAAGATCGGTATTTGAAAGGCTCGGACCCATTCAAGAGTTAGAGTCCAAAAGAACTAGTCATCAGAGACTTGGTATTCGAAGGATGGTAAGATACGGGAAGATAGAGAGAAAGTTCCATGAGCTCCGAAACTTGATACCATCACGAATGAAGAGACATACCACATTGATTGTTTCATGTAGTAATGTCTTGCAGACGAAGATGCAAACAATCGTGCACACGAGAGTAAAGGGTGAAGAAGAAAGTGATGGAGAAAGCGTCGCTTCGACTAATCAAGTGAGTACTGTTGCCCCAAGAGCAAATCCTCGAAACATCGGAAGCTCCTTGAGTCGAACAATCGTTGCATTGGTGAGGGAAAGGTTTATTATTGAAGACAATACCACTTTGCATTTGCCTCGTGTCGTAAGAAGGGACGGACGAGTTA